GGACCAAAAACATGTGCTCAACACAAGTAAAAAATGTTTTTGACCGTATTCGAACAAAAAAATATGCTCGAACTTGTTCGACCTTAGACAGATTTTTTTACTGTCTCGACCACAAATAATGTGCTCAACCGTCCTCGACCATAGCAAGATATTTTTCGAAAGTCGAGTGCTTGTATTTTGGCCATGTATATGGGTTTGCTGTTGATGCCTCTTTATGCTTCTTAGAGCAGGGAAACAAATCAGTATTGAAGCAGAATTAGTGGCCGCTTGTAATATTTTTTTTGAAACTTTTAGAATCGCGTTAACAAATGATTTGTATTTTGATTGGTTTGAAATCAGTTATTATGTAATTTTGGAGTGTCAAATCACAAAATGAAGGTTTTGTTTTTGTAATGGTCGCTTGAAATTAGTTTTTTTGGATAGACGAAGCTCATTTCTAACCCCTAATTTAGAAAAAAAAGAATGTTTTTTTTTGTAACCGAACAGCTTTTTGGATTTTAAATTGATTTTATTTGAGTTTTTAAGCAATAATGAAAAAAGTGCACAATACAACTTAAAATTTTAACCTCTAAGTTTTTGCAAATTTCACTGGCAGAAAACTGCGCACTGAAATTTTTTTTTTGCCATTTTAAATTATGTTTGCTGAAAACAGAAGAAGTCCTGGTTCCAATTTTTTGTTGTACTTACTATAACCAGCTTCGCAGAAACGGGCTGGGCTAATTTTTTAATTTGGAGTAAAGGTTCTGGTTTTTAGCTTTTTCGATGCTCAGATGTTTTAAGGAAAAAGCTATTGTTCAAGATAATTGTAGATAATATTTGCGTATTAACTCCGTTAAAACTTTGAACTAGCTCAATTTAAAAAGTGTAGCCAACAGAAAACTAATTTAAAGTGCAGCGCAAGACCATCGAACAATAGAAAGAATGATGAAGAAACATTTTTTTCTTCTAAATGACAATTTTTCATCAATTCTGATTAGTTAATTTTAATTTTGGTTAATTCCAAATTTTTACCTTGAGCATTTTAATCGATACTTCTATCTCAATTAGGTTTTTCGACACAATTTATGATGAAATGCGCCTGCGGATTTAGGAGGAAGCGGACACCCCCCCTCACCTCAGGGATTCGATTCCCTGAAGACCCAAAGGGTCCCCCTTTGTACTATTTTGAGGTATTCATCTTTGGCTGACTGACCCTAAAATTTTTCTGAAGACGAATTCGGCGCCAATATGTTCTTCATTTGACGGGGGGATCCCGCTCCAAAAACGCGAATTTGTAGTCAGCATTTTTAGGCCTGTCTTTTCAAAAATTTGCCTGTGAGCAGAAAATTTGGTCAAAATGGGGTCTTTATTTAGACTTGGGAGAGCTCAAAAAATCAGTTTGGTCGACCAAAAAAAGGTAGACAAAATTTTCAAAAGTTTGTAGAAAATCCGCCCCCCCCCTTGAGAAAATCCTAGATCCGCCCCTGCTGAAATGAATGAAAACTTTGTAAAAGTCCTAGTCGATATAAGAATGCAGTAAAGTTCTGCTGAGACAGGATGCAGCGCATTTTTCGATTGACTCAGATCTGTAACTTGACTTATATCTCGTGACAAGGATCAAAATCAACAGCAACACAGATGATAGCACAAGAGAAATTCAGTCTCTGTCAATCAGATTATCGAAATTTAAAACCGTGTAAAGTTCCTTGAAACATTTGGTTCGAAACTCAAAAGAATCACTTTATCAATTAATCACATAAAGATTTCGAGAGATGAGCGCGTTTGGAACCGTTCACTGACTTCTCACAAAAGTAGTTTCCAAGCTGGAAGCAGGCGCCATTTAATTCTCCAGGAATCTAAATTAAACTTCTAAGAGAACTTCGCCCTGACACAAAGCAGTCTCGCTCATTTGAATTTGCGTATTTTTCGCAGCCTTTATAGAATTTTTCTATAATTTGTTAGGTTTTTTGGACTCGACTGGTTGAAGTACATCTATCTATGCAATCTTAGAACAAATATATTAGAAAAAAATATATATGATTCTTTTATCACTACGGTTGAGTAGTATGCATAAGAATTTTTTGGCTAGAAGCAGTGTTTGGAAAAAAAGTTCTTAAAGGCAGGTCATTTCAAATATTTGAATTTTTTGCATGATCATTTTGATGAATTTATATGGTATGCAAAGGTTGACCTTTTACGGTAAATATTTTAAGCAAGTTCAGTTTTTTTTCAAGTCTTCTTTAGCTGAATTTTATCCATAACGTTTTTCATGATTAACTTTTATGATTAAATTTTATGGTTGACTTTGAATTCGTTGTGAAATTTAAACTGGCATTAAACTTTTTTATCATTGTGCAACCTAAAAACGAAGCCAATGCCCCATGTGAACAATCTCTCCCTAAATATACCAAGTGAAAAATGTCCCCCCGTAGCATTAAATGACAAAATCAAGTAGTAAGGCCTACATGAAACATGCTCAATTCTGATTGGCTGAAAAATATTACCTTTGACCTAGTGATTTCTCTCCTCCTAAGGTGGAGATTATTCACTTGGTCCAAACCAATTTCTTTTTTATATCATATTTTTTGCGAAGTGTTTCCTGAAAGCTCAGAAAATCAATTTAATCAACCTAAAAAAAGGCAACATTTTTGATTTTTTCTGAAAGTCCGCCCCCTTGACAAAATCATAGATCCACCCCTGGTTTCATCGATATAGAACACCTGTTTATACCTATTTTGTGGCTAAAGTATTGGTACCCTGTATCTAGGCAGCCTCCAGAAGTTGAACCGGTCTAGCTAAAGAACAAAAGGACCGGTTTTCAGCTCTGGTTCGCGTTTGATGGGGATTGGATGAAAAAACAGAAACATCAAGCAACGGGAGAAGAAGGTTTTTGAGGTATGTTTCACGCAATCCAATTATTTGCTCCATTTGCGCGATATGGGTAGTCAATTATGGCTACAAAAGGTTTTCCCAAAGTAGGTATTTCAAGGTGCTTGAAGTTCCCAATTAGTTATTTCAAGCACATATTAGATATTTCAAGATAATTCAAAATCTTCGGACACATCAGACACATATTTCAAGACTTCAGAATCATCTATCGCGATCAAGTAAGGAATTCTCTCCTCTAACTTTAAAAAAGCAGCTAGACTTTTTAGTGGCGCAGTCAAATTTCAATGTAAATATTTCTAACAAAAACTTTAGCATGTTTCGATTACTCGATAACTTTGATTTGAACTTTCTCTTCGCATGCTTCATAGAAAATGATTGAGATTCAAAAAAAATTTGAATTAAGATGGAACTATAGTGACATATGATAGCGAAAGAAAGAAAGAATTTATTTCTCACTGTTAATGGTAAATTTGCATATAAAGAGAATTTAAATATGAAGCACCAGAAACAGTGAGGGGACAGTTAACGAACCCAATTTGGTTACTTAGCACTGCCCGTTTAGAGTTTCTACCGTTTAGCAATTCAAAGATTGTAAATTGATTAAATAATTTAGATGAAGATTGAGTTAACACGCATTAACAGATAGTGCACATATTACAATTCCCTTTTCAGCCGTTTTAGAGTATTCTTTTTAAGACAGTTTCAAACACCGTATTCCCAGAAAGTTTGTTTGGTTTTGAAGTTCCGATGATTTTCTAGGCAGAAAAACTTTAGACTATATCAGCGTCAAAGGCAATTTAGTATTTCGATTCTTTCCCCATTAAAGCTCCTCTAATTAAGCAACAAAGTTTTTTTCATCTCTACAGCGAGATTATTTTTAAATTTTGGGGAACAAGGAAGTTATACCAGGGAAGAGCGATAATGTTTTTTGCAAAACATTCAATATTTTACACGAGTGGCGAATGTGAAAACTTCTAAGCATGGTTGAATAGACTGCTAATGAATTTAAACTGTCCGAATTTACAGCCGTGACTTTCATCTTCAGGGATCAGGTGGCAATCTGCATTGACCTGGTGATTGCTCTTTAGTTTGAGTGATATCAATCTAGCATCTTCGGCTGAGTCGAACTCTAAGTGGTAGTCTTCGTGTTCGATTCCCTCTACATTTTCAACGTGTAACCCTACGATATTACTACCGAACATGTCAACTCGGGTCTGAAACCAATAATTGTTCGAAAAGAAACTTAAAAAAAAATTTAAGAAAACTTTAAAGAACTTTAAAAAAGAAAAATTATATCGACTATCCAACGAAATTTTTCATTCTTATCTATAGTTAATGCCAATTGGTTGGAAAAATCGGTGTTTTGAGCTTCTTAAGCCATTTAATTCGATCTTTTGTATGACTCTAAATAGATTTATGACCCAGATTTTACGTGCTAAAATGAGTGAAATGAGATTTCCGAGGTAAAATGAGCAGTTTTAGATTAGTTTATCTTCGTAGAGATATGTTGACCAAGGCGTGTACAGATACCTTTGACTGTAAGTAACTATTAAAATCAATTCAGTTTGAGCTTTTTCAACGTTTTTGATGCTAAAGAAAGTTCTCCGCTTTTTCCCCGGATTTTCTCGAGGAGAGGAGGGGGGAGGATTTTAAAAAAATTCAAAATTTTTCTCTACTTTTTTTTTAGCTCGACCAAACTGATTCTCAGAGCTCTCCCAAATCACTAAAACCCCAACTTCAAACAAATTTTGTTAAAGCAGGCAAATTTTTCTAACAATAACAGGCCAAAAAAGCGTTATTATGCACTTTTTGGAAAATTTTGAAAAACAACTTTTTGGTTCGGCAAATGTTCAAATCATCAAATCTCTGAAAGAAGGAGGGGACACGCACCGCGTCACTCCCATAAACCCGCTACAGTCTACATTATTGGTTTTTGCATGATTTGACCTAGAAAAAATGCACTGAAGAAGAAACAGTTATTTGAAGTGCATGAAATTTTGTTGAGCACAACTTGCTTTCCAATAATCAGCCACATTACAAACTTTTTTTGTCATTTCAGAAAATAAAAGTCCTAACTGAAAAAAAACAAGCATGAAAGAAAGCAAAGCACTCATGAAAACTTAAAAAACAAACAAACATTAAAGATGTATAATTAACCAAATATATTATATGCAGTACAACATTTAAACATGCCAAAATAATTAAAGTGGGTGAAGGATGCAATTTAATGTTGGCCCGATGATTTTAAATCATAATGGCACCTATGGCTAAAATTATTACAAAAAACTTCGGCCATTGTTTCAGGAAAAGTTATGGTGTAGTTCAGCTACCAGTTGCTTCTCAATTTAACTAAAAGAGGCCACTTATGAATGAAAACTGTCCAAATTTACATCCATGCCTCTCATCTTCGGGAATCAAATGACAGTCCATATTTATTTCATGGCCACTTTTTGCCTTCAGTTTTAGCGAGACTAATCGGGCGTCTTCGGCCGAGTCGAACTCTAAGTGGTAGTCTTCGTCTTCTATTCCCTCCTCGTTTTCTACGTGCAAAGCGACTATGTTGCTGCCGAGCATGTCAACTCTAGTCTGAAGCAGAGGTGTGACTAATCATCTTTGCAAAAAGTTATACAAAATTATAAAATGCGATACTACAAAAAGCGACATTTTCAAAGTTAGCGTTTTTCACCAAAAATTTTTTATCAATCAATTCAAAGTTGAATTAAAAGTATAGTACGAAGTTATTATACTATGCCAGTTACAGAACCGTCTAAAAAACTTTAAAATTTCAAAAAAATGGCGATTTCCTAAATTTTACATAATTTTTATGTAGCAGAGCAAGCAGAGTGTTGCTTTTGAGCCCCAAAAACGCAAAGCCCCGAACGGCCTGCGAACTTTTTGACGTCAATCAAAAAAATGAAGTAAGAATATTCGAAACCTTATGAACACTTGATTGACAAGTAGAGACTGCTTGCTCTGCTTCGCTACCCTGCGCTTATATTCTAGCGGCATGATTGTTATTGAGTGAGTGAATTAGTGTTTGCCGCTAGTATAAGCTGTGTCAGATATCTCGAATTGAAACTGACTGAAATGTTTCCGTTCTAACTCGGCTGAAATGCCTGGCTAAATTTGGCTAGAAGTCTCAATTTGAATTATTCGGCCAAAATGAAAAAGATTTTTGGACCAGAAAAATGACGTTTTTGAAAATAACACCGAAGCGACATGTGAAGCACACGTTGGAAATTTAGAGTCCAAAAAAATAACCATTATATCAAACAAGGCTGCTCGTAACAGGGCGAAGCCCTGGATGTTCCGATTGGCTTTTAAGGTCTATGGAGCAATAATAACATGAAAAATTTAAAAGGAAAAAAATATATAATATATATTTTTAATTTGAGATTTTTTGTGAAAACATCCTACCACACGCCATATTAAGTACAAAGTGATAGCTTTTGCTCCTATTAAAAAAAAATTAAATCAAATCAATTATGGCTTCCTCTATGGCGATTTCCTAAATTTTACATAATTTTTATGTAGCAGAGCAAGCAGAGTGTTGCTTTTGAGCCCCAAAAACGCAAAGCCCCGAACGGCCTGCGAACTTTTTGACGTCAATCAAAAAAATGAAGTAAGAATATTCGAAACCTTATGAACACTTGATTGACAAGTAGAGACTGCTTGCTCTGCTTCGCTACCCTGCGCTTATATTCTAGCGGCATGATTGTTATTGAGTGAGTGAATTAGTGTTTGCCGCTAGTATAAGCTGTGTCAGATATCTCGAATTGAAACTGACTGAAATGTTTCCGTTCTAACTCGGCTGAAATGCCTGGCTAAATTTGGCTAGAAGTCTCAATTTGAATTATTCGGCCAAAATGAAAAAGATTTTTGGACCAGAAAAATGACGTTTTTGAAAATAACACCGAAGCGACATGTGAAGCACACGTTGGAAATTTAGAGTCCAAAAAAATAACCATTATATCAAACAAGGCTGCTCGTAACAGGGCGAAGCCCTGGATGTTCCGATTGGCTTTTAAGGTCTATGGAGCAATAATAACATGAAAAATTTAAAAGGAAAAAAATATATAATATATATTTTTAATTTGAGATTTTTTGTGAAAACATCCTACCACACGCCATATTAAGTACAAAGTGATAGCTTTTGCTCCTATTAAAAAAAAATTAAATCAAATCAATTATGGCTTCCTCTATGGCGATTTCCTAAATTTTACATAATTTTTATGTAGCAGAGCAAGCAGAGTGTTGCTTTTGAGCCCCAAAAACGCAAAGCCCCGAACGGCCTGCGAACTTTTTGACGTCAATCAAAAAAATGAAGTAAGAATATTCGAAACCTTATGAACACTTGATTGACAAGTAGAGACTGCTTGCTCTGCTTCGCTACCCTGCGCTTATATTCTAGCGGCATGATTGTTATTGAGTGAGTGAATTAGTGTTTGCCGCTAGTATAAGCTGTGTCAGATATCTCGAATTGAAACTGACTGAAATGTTTCCGTTCTAACTCGGCTGAAATGCCTGGCTAAATTTGGCTAGAAGTCTCAATTTGAATTATTCGGCCAAAATGAAAAAGATTTTTGGACCAGAAAAATGACGTTTTTGAAAATAACACCGAAGCGACATGTGAAGCACACGTTGGAAATTTAGAGTCCAAAAAAATAACCATTATATCAAACAAGGCTGCTCGTAACAGGGCGAAGCCCTGGATGTTCCGATTGGCTTTTAAGGTCTATGGAGCAATAATAACATGAAAAATTTAAAAGGAAAAAAATATATAATATATATTTTTAATTTGAGATTTTTTGTGAAAACATCCTACCACACGCCATATTAAGTACAAAGTGATAGCTTTTGCTCCTATTAAAAAAAAATTAAATCAAATCAATTATGGCTTCCTCTATGGCGATTTCCTAAATTTTACATAATTTTTATGTAGCAGAGCAAGCAGAGTGTTGCTTTTGAGCCCCAAAAACGCAAAGCCCCGAACGGCCTGCGAACTTTTTGACGTCAATCAAAAAAATGAAGTAAGAATATTCGAAACCTTATGAACACTTGATTGACAAGTAGAGACTGCTTGCTCTGCTTCGCTACCCTGCGCTTATATTCTAGCGGCATGATTGTTATTGAGTGAGTGAATTAGTGTTTGCCGCTAGTATAAGCTGTGTCAGATATCTCGAATTGAAACTGACTGAAATGTTTCCGTTCTAACTCGGCTGAAATGCCTGGCTAAATTTGGCTAGAAGTCTCAATTTGAATTATTCGGCCAAAATGAAAAAGATTTTTGGACCAGAAAAATGACGTTTTTGAAAATAACACCGAAGCGACATGTGAAGCACACGTTGGAAATTTAGAGTCCAAAAAAATAACCATTATATCAAACAAGGCTGCTCGTAACAGGGCGAAGCCCTGGATGTTCCGATTGGCTTTTAAGGTCTATGGAGCAATAATAACATGAAAAATTTAAAAGGAAAAAAATATATAATATATATTTTTAATTTGAGATTTTTTGTGAAAACATCCTACCACACGCCATATTAAGTACAAAGTGATAGCTTTTGCTCCTATTAAAAAAAAATTAAATCAAATCAATTATGGCTTCCTCTATGGCGATTTCCTAAATTTTACATAATTTTTATGTAGCAGAGCAAGCAGAGTGTTGCTTTTGAGCCCCAAAAACGCAAAGCCCCGAACGGCCTGCGAACTTTTTGACGTCAATCAAAAAAATGAAGTAAGAATATTCGAAACCTTATGAACACTTGATTGACAAGTAGAGACTGCTTGCTCTGCTTCGCTACCCTGCGCTTATATTCTAGCGGCATGATTGTTATTGAGTGAGTGAATAGTGTTTGCCGCTAGTATAAGCTGTGTCAGATATCTCGAATTGAAACTGACTGAAATGTTTCCGTTCTAACTCGGCTGAAATGCCTGGCTAAATTTGGCTAGAAGTCTCAATTTGAATTATTCGGCCAAAATGAAAAAAGATTTTTGGACCAGAAAAA